TTTCCCTTTTGGTTTTGCAAACTCGTCGGCCAGACTATGCAGCTTTATGGAGGTAACCAAAACAGAGATCGTACAAAGACAGGGAAATTTTTCCAGAGGTGACTCCAGCGTTTCTGAATACAGCAGATCAAGCCATGCAGACTCTCTGTACTGCACAGGAACTGTGATGTGTCTTCGCAAAGTCTGCTGGAGCCTGGTCTAGGTTTCCAAACCATCGCCACAGTAGTCTTCTGGAGTTCTAGCATTGTGTCCTTGCGGATGGGCCATGTTCATCTTCTTTCTGTTCGTGGCTCGACGTTGTTGTGCTTTCGCCCTCCTCTGATCATATGGAGAACTCCTTGGTGGATCGCGTGGAGCGACTCATAAGCAGGAACGAAAAGCTTTGAATGCTGCCAAAAAGGAGGCCACCAGCCATATTCATCTTCTTTCTGTCTTTCAAAACGCCTTTAAAGGCTGCCTGCTTGGGTTTGCTGATGGCCTATGGGTTCCCAGGCCGAAGGAGCCTGGAGTGTCGTTTCTCTATCTGCCTACTGGATGTCCTCTGCGTAGCAGGACCTGTCCGGAACTTTCTGGCCTAATGGATTCTCTCTGGCAGAAAGTGTCCGGAACCTCGTTGTTCCTTATATGGCCTAATCGATTCCCTGTGGCAGAAAAAATCAGGAACCTCGTTTTTCCATATGGCCTAATGGGTTCCCTCCGGCAGAAAGTGTCCCGAACCTTGTTTTTCCATATGGCCTAATGGATTCCCTATGGCAGAAAGTGTCCGGAACTTCGTTTTTCCATATGGCCTAATGGATTCCCTCTGGCAGAAAGTGTCAGGAACCTCGTTTTTCCATATGGCCTAATTGATTCCTGTGGCAGAAAGTGCCCGGAACCTCGTTTTTTTATATGGCCTAATGGATTCCTTATGACCTATCCTATGGCCTAACCTATGGCCTAATACACCTTCCCTATGACCTAATCATTTTCGCGTTTTAGGAATACAATCTTTTCTTTTCCCACACGGAAATGATTAGGTCATAGGGAAGGTGTATTAGGCCATAGGTTAGGCCATAGGATAGGTCATAAGGAATCCATTAGGCCATATGAAAAAACGAGGTTCCGGACACTTTCTGCCACAGGAACCCATTGGGCCATATGGAAAAACGAGGTTCCGGACACTTTCTGCCAGAGGGAATCCATTAGGCCATATGGAAAAACGAGGTTCCGGACACTTTCTGCCAGAGGGAATCCATTAGGCCATATGGCAAAACGAGGTTCCGGACACTTTCTGCCAGAGGAATCTGTTAGGCCATGACGTCGCGATGCTCGCAGCCTCTTCTGCTCCGTGTGAGTGACAAGATGAGTTTCCAACTCCGCATGTTTCCAGTCGGACAGTAGGCTTGCTGGGGATGCGAGAGCTTCCTCCAGACGGTAGGGGTTGGCAGGGTTCACAGACGCGACGTCATAGACTGTTGTGTTGCATGTACGGACCCCCCCCCCCCTCCATTTCAATGATGTCGTCTGCTCGGAGGTGCGTGTCGTCTGCTTGCGCAGGGCTTTGTGGCCGTGCTGCTCCAAACATTGAGATTTGGGGGAGGGGGATGTGCCGCGGTGGCCTTGTCGGCGTGCCGGTGTCACAGCAGTACAACCGTTTCTGATGGTCAGGTTCTTGTCCGTTCGGAGGTCAGTGGCTTAAAATCTGGTCTTGTTCCAGCTACCCTCCCAATGCGTAGTTTCTGGGGACACATGGTGGTTCCCCCTCTGTATCGAGAAGGTCGGCGGATGCTACGGATTTTGAGAAATGCACTTAACTGCGGGACCCCCCCATTGCAAAACGGGGTTGCATCTTCATCTCCGTCAAATCTGTTGCTCTTTAAGTCAGTTCCATCATGTAATCGGAGTCTGGGATTGCTTCATGGTTGCTTGTCTCTTTTGGAACTTGCAGACTCGAGGTGCATGTTGCTGTCAAAAATCCACCTCTATGGCCTCAGCAGGCCTCAAGCGCCCGCAAGTGAAGCCTCGAAGGCCTTTGTGAAAGTGGTCAGCGCAGGCGGCTCCAAATGTGGGGTCGAATAGTCTGAGCAATTTTAGCTTCGCTTGAGTGGCCCCCCTCTGTGCGCGCTTCTCTCATGTTAATCACTTCCACAAGCACGTGTCTGTGGAAATTTCTGGTTCTTGGAGAGTCTTTTTCACACTGGATGCCTGCCGTGAGCGGGTCGCCTCGGTGTGTAGCAGTCTGGAATGCAGGGGCTTGGGCTTGGGCTTGGGCCCCAGAATGAAGGAATTCGCGACCCCAAAATGGGGGCCGCCACGCGGCCCCAATTTTGGGTCCTCTATAGTTCCCAGTCAAATATATTAGAGGAGGTTGGCTGCATTTCGCGGCTCCTTTTCTGGGGCCGCGAGACGGCCCCATTTTTGGGGTCGCAAGTTTGATCCCTGCACCCACAGCGGCTGAATCTCGTCGGCTGCGCATGTCATGAGGTAAGTTTGGGGAACGTCTGGTGGAGGACCGTTTGGAAGGTCGGGGCTTGTCCAAAGCAGCTGTGTGCTTGCCCTTGTTGCTGCTGCTGCTGCTGCAGCCAGCGGAATGCAACTGTGGAGGGCCGACCTGGCGAAGCCAGAATTGCTTGTGTTTTGCGGGCCTGGAAATGGGGTCGCCCGACAGCCCCATAACGTGGGCTTCGTCCTGGCAGTGCAGCGGGCTCGCCAGTTGACCCGCGCGGATTTTTGGTGTTCTTTCTGTGGATGGGAGTCGTAGTTCAAGCTCTGGGAAGTTGACCGACGTGGCTTCAACGTTTCCCTTTTGGTTTTGCAAACTCGTCGGCCAGACTATGCAGCTTTATGGAGGTAACCAAAACAGAGATCGTACAAAGACAGGGAAATTTTTCCAGAGGTGACTCCAGCGTTTCTGAATACAGCAGATCAAGCCATGCAGACTCTCTGTACTGCACAGGAACTGTGATGTGTCTTCGCAAAGTCTGCTGGAGCCTGGTCTAGGTTTCCAAACCATCGCCACAGTAGTCTTCTGGAGTTCTAGCATTGTGTCCTTGCGGATGGGCCATGTTCATCTTCTTTCTGTTCGTGGCTCGACGTTGTTGTGCTTTCGCCCTCCTCTGATCATATGGAGAACTCCTTGGTGGATCGCGTGGAGCGACTCATAAGCAGGAACGAAAAGCTTTGAATGCTGCCAAAAAGGAGGCCACCAGCCATATTCATCTTCTTTCTGTCTTTCAAAACGCCTTTAAAGGCTGCCTGCTTGGGTTTGCTGATGGCCTATGGGTTCCCAGGCCGAAGGAGCCTGGAGTGTCGTTTCTCTATCTGCCTACTGGATGTCCTCTGCGTAGCAGGACCTGTCCGGAACTTTCTGGCCTAATGGATTCTCTCTGGCAGAAAGTGTCCGGAACCTCGTTGTTCCTTATATGGCCTAATCGATTCCCTGTGGCAGAAAAAATCAGGAACCTCGTTTTTCCATATGGCCTAATGGGTTCCCTCCGGCAGAAAGTGTCCCGAACCTTGTTTTTCCATATGGCCTAATGGATTCCCTATGGCAGAAAGTGTCCGGAACTTCGTTTTTCCATATGGCCTAATGGATTCCCTCTGGCAGAAAGTGTCAGGAACCTCGTTTTTCCATATGGCCTAATTGATTCCTGTGGCAGAAAGTGCCTGGAACCTCGTTTTTTTATATGGCCTAATGGATTCCTTATGACCTATCCTATGGCCTAACCTATGGCCTAATACACCTTCCCTATGACCTAATCATTTTCGCGTTTTAGGAATACAATCTTTTCTTTTCCCACACGGAAATGATTAGGTCATAGGGAAGGTGTATTAGGCCATAGGTTAGGCCATAGGATAGGTCATAAGGAATCCATTAGGCCATATGAAAAAACGAGGTTCCGGACACTTTCTGCCACAGGAACCCATTGGGCCATATGGAAAAACGAGGTTCCGGACACTTTCTGCCAGAGGGAATCCATTAGGCCATATGGAAAAACGAGGTTCCGGACACTTTCTGCCAGAGGGAATCCATTAGGCCATATGGAAAAACGAGGTTCCGGACACTTTCTGCCAGAGGAATCTGTTAGGCCATGACGTCGCGATGCTCGCAGCCTCTTCTGCTCCGTGCGAGTGACAAGATGAGTTTCCAACTCCGCATGTTTCCAGTCGGACAGTAGGCTTGCTGGGGATGCGAGAGCTTCCTCCAGACGGTAGGGGTTGGCAGGGTTCACAGACGCGACGTCATAGACTGTTGTGTTGCATGTACGGACCCCCCCCCCCCTCCATTTCAATGATGTCGTCTGCTCGGAGGCGCGTGTCGTCTGCTTGCGCAGGGCTTTGTGGCCGTGCTGCTCCAAACATTGAGATTTGGGGGAGGGGGATGTGCCGCGGTGGCCTTGTCGGCGTGCCGGTGTCACAGCAGTACGACCCACGGAGCGGAGCGCAGTAATGTTTATCCTGGTCTAGCGAAGCCAAAGGCGAAGCGAACTTGCAGCTTTTCGTTGTCATGTTTCCAAGACATTTTAGCTTTTTATTTTCAATGTCTCACATGCAATGTTTTCCTCAGTGCGATTTTGAATCATGTCACGCCGGTGGTGATGCTCAAGCTGTGTTCGCTTAGCAAGAAAAATTTTTTTTGGGGGCTCTCTAGAGGCTTGTAGCTTTGCGTCTAACAGGCCCGAGTCCTCCGTAATCCGGTGTTGCTCTTAGAGCACCGTGCAAGAGCCCTGCTGGGGCTCGGATGGACTTTCGCCAGGCCCTTGAAGCGGGATCTTCGGCTTCTGCTTCCAGTGACACTCAAGAAGCCATTTCCCAACATTTGTACGACCTTTCATTGCAAGTCGCTTCTCTTGAACAGCAGTTGCGTGCCGTCCGTGCAGAGCTCAGCGACGTCCAGCGCGAGCTCCGGGGCCTGGAAACTGAAAGGTACCAACATTCCCTCCGCCTGGGGTGGTTGGAAAGGCTTGTGCAGCGATTGCATCAGGTGTTTCGCTCCGAGTCTTAAGCTTCTTTTGCGGGGGATGAGTGCTGAAGCTTTTTATCCAGATGAGGGGGCCGTCTCGCAGTCTGTGGAATCAGGTCAGCAGGTCCCTCTGTCTGCCATACCTGCCAGCCCAATATCTCCGCATTCGGCTGTGGTCGAGGGCACACCTGATCAGGGTCCCTTAGCGGCCTTCATGAGCAGCCCCGTCGAGGGCGATGATCTTACTGAGGAGCAACTGGGGAGCCTGATGTCTCGCGAGGACACACAACTTCCCCCTGACGACGACCCGACTGCAGGCCGTTTGGAACAGCAGCTTGCAGGCTTCATTGCCTACGGCGGCAGTGCAGGTGATTGGCATGCCATGAACTCAGGCTTCATTCTTGCAAGGCATTCCCGTCAGGCGATGCCGTGGGAAAGAGTGACGAGGCCCCGCTTGGGGCCCGGCTTCATGTTCCAGGAGCCGTTGCTAGGTCGCTTCGACGGTCTTAGGAGGGCGGCGATCCCCGCCCCTGCAGCAGGGCCGTGGGCATGGGTGCCCAAAGGAACTTACGAGGCCAGGCGACTTCTCGCAGCAAGGTTTGCCAAAAGCGATGACATGCTTAGGCTTACCGCACTTAAGAAAATTCGGCTCATCGTGCTTTTCTTCCCGGATGACTCGGAGCTTGGAAGGAACCTTGTGGGTTCTGCAGGCTCCCTGGTGGAGGAATCCATGCTGACCTCGACCATCGAGGACACCTTTTCAGGCAGAGCCGCCAGCACCCTTCTGAAGCGTGCCTCAGATTTCTCAAGGTTCGCCAAGTGGATCGTAGCTAGCAAAGGGCGCCCTCTGGCGCCTTCCGAGGGCGAGTTGTACGCTTATATGCTTCACTTGCGACGGGAGAAAGCAGGAGCCACTGCCGGCGAGTCTTTTCTCAAGGCCTATAGGTTCTTTGTGCACTTGACAGGGGCTGCGCAAGGCTCCAGGATTTCCCCTCGTGTGCAGGGAGCAGCCAAGGCGATGTCCATGGCCAAACGGCCGCTCTGGCAAGCACCGCCCCTTCCGGTGGAGGCAGTGCGGCTCTTGGAAGAATTCGTCCACGACTCTGAGGATTACGCCAGGGCTAGCATAGCAGGGTTCATTCTTTTCTGCCTCTAATCCTCGGCTCGATGGTCGGATGCAGCTCGAGGGACTGACTTGAGCATTGACGTGGCAGGTAACGGGCTTGTCCTTCTTGAGTGTTCGACAAAACATTACAAGACGAAGGCCAAGGACCGAAAGGATACCGTGCTGCCTTTGATTGCACTGGGCAGTGGCTTAACTCAGCCCTCGTGGGGACGTGTCTGGATGCGCAAGAGGGCCCTGGCAGGGCTACCGGACTGCGCCGTAATCATGCCGGCCATGTCGCCGGGAGGGAACTTTCTAGGAAGGGCCATGACGGCTGCGGAGGGTTCCTTGTGGCTTCGTGAGTTTTTGCACTTGCAGGGTTTCACGGGAGATCTTGAACAGTACAGCTCGCACAGCCTGAAAGCAACCGCCCTGTCCTGGACGGCCAAGAGCGGGACCATGACCTACGAGGAGCGCCTTACTCAGGGGCATCATTGCAGTCCAAAGCACGGCATGGCTCTCCTGTACTCGAGAGATGCGCTTGCAGAAATCATAGTGAAGGTGGCCAAGGTCGTGAGTGCTGTGAGCAGGGGAGTGCTTAGTCCCGACCTCCCGCGAGCCGAGAGAGTCGCAAGAGCTCTGCATGGCGATCCGGCCGATTTTGCGCATCTTCCTGAGACGACGGCTGAGGATTTGCCGGCCGAAGAGCCTCAGGATGAGAACAACTCCGAGGCTGGGTCCGACATAACAAACCTCGGCGGCCTCGAAGTGGACCTGGGAGCACCGGCCCCGGAGGAGGTCCGTCCTCGGCTTAGCAGCACGTTCTCGGGAGAGACCTACATGCACGTCTTGAGTGGAGTGGTGCATAAGTTGGTCAACCCCGGAATTTTTAAGTGCGGCAGGAAGGTCACGGCGAACATGCGTTTGATGGGGCCCGAGGAGGCTCAGGAGAATGTCTGCCAGCAGTGCGCAGCTTGAAGAAAAGAGGATGTGCTCAGTTGATCTTTTGCTGATTTGCGACGTCGTGCCTATGCCATTTGAGATGAGGGTGCTCGGGCCGATTGAGATCAGTTAGAGTGTTTCTTGCTTCGGAGCACAAAACCGGACTGGGAAGTGTCCGCAGTCTTTTGGCTGGGAGTTGCCAAACTGGGGCGAATCTCCCGCGCGGCCTGGTGAGCACCCAAGCTTGAACTTAGCGGGAGTTTGATTGGGGGCTTTGAGATTGCAAGAACCCCCGTGGTCGGCTGCCTTTGCCGGCCTGAGTCATGAAAAATACTATTGGAACGCGACCGGCTGGGATCGCCGGTTCACGAAGGCCGCCTGTGATCGGTGGCGAAGAAGTGTGAATCCGAGACAAACTCGACCCACGGTTGACTTCGCCGTGGGTGAGAACCTCGAAACCTGTATCCTCACCTGCCCAGGTCTCATGGCCGGACTTGAATCGGTGCCTGCCTTCACCGACCGAGCAAAGCAGATCGGCATCAGCGAGGACCTTCTGAAGAAGCTCCTTGCTAAGAGCTTGGACACCTTCGGCAAGCTAGCTTTCGTGTGCTCGAGCAAACCTTCCAGCGGGGATGACACTCCTCTCTTCGAAGCCCTGAAGACTCTGATCGGGAGTGAGGTTCCAGTGGAACAACATATGGTGATCAGGAGATTGTGGTACGAGAGCCACGCCCACGCCCTGGTTGACTTGGAATCGAGGGCTTCGAGAACAAGTGATACAAGCCCCCGCGAGCTTCCGTTGGCTGAACGCCTAACACGCTTGAAACGCCAAAGGGGCGAGCTTAAAGGCCTCGAGATGGATATCCACACAGAACCTGGACACGGCCTTGTGGACCGCGTCCAGGCCATGCTCGATTCTGCACAAGTGCTGCACATCGCGCCGGAGAAGTGCATTTCCCGCCATGACGAAATCCTGGGTGAGAAGACGGAACAAAAGATCTCTTTGGGAGCCGACGGGAACATCAAGGTCACGAAGCAAGCCTCGAGCCTCCGTTGCGAGACTACCGGCGAGCTCAAGCTTCGCCGGTGCTTCCTGCGCCGGGCCTTAGCATTCGATCAAGTAGGGCTCGCCTCCTTCACTGCACTGGAGTCTTGGCACAACCGCATGTTCCAGGCTCTGCTTGATGTGCCTCCGGCAGGTTATCGCTACACTACCGTTCAGCAGCTGCTTGCAGCTGACCAGAAGCTTTGGCAGGTGGTGGCCCAGGAGAGCCGAGGTGACATCGTCGTCGGGGTCGGAGCCCCGGCCCCTCTTGACAAGCACATAGCCGCTGCTGCAACCAATCAGTTTGTCGTGTCATGCTTGACTCACCTGCCCAAGCCCTTGGAAGCTCCCGCTCCCACATGGCTGCCAAACAAGCCCGGTAAAGGATTCGGCAAGAAGGGGGATAAGGGAAACAAGGGCGGAGGCAAGGGCAAGGGCAAGCAAAACCATAGCCAATCCGGTGCGGAAGCCGCCCCGACAACCTCCTTGAAGGAGCTGCTCGAATCTCTGCCAGAGGGCTGTGTGCGAGCCACTGATGAAGGTCGCTTCATCTGCCCTTTCTACAATAAGGGCATCTGCCGATTCCAGAAGCGCAAGTCGTGCCGGTTCGGGAAGCATGTGTGCAATTTCAAAGGCTGTGGGGCTGAGAGGCCGTACATCGAGTGCAAACATTGACTATCCGCAGGCGAGGCAGCCAATGACAGTTCTCCAAATTTGTGTTCGGGGGCTTCAAGTGAGCCCGAAGTCTTTGCCAAACAACTTTTGCAGCAGAGTGAGCCCATATCAGCCTCGCAGGTGACCGCTTTGTTTGACGCGTTGCCACACGACCAGTGCGATCGGAGTGCTTCGGGTTTTTCCTTCTCTGCAGGACTCTACTCACGAGTCCAAGTGGGCCTCCGCAAGGCCTGCAAGCTGTTTCCACTTTCTGTGCAGGCGGTGAATAAGTTTGTAGCTCATTTGCTTGACGGCGCAGTTTACACGAGTTTTGCCATATTTTCCAGAGTACAGACCCGGGAGCACCGGGACAAGCAGAATGCCTTTTTGCCAAACATAGTGATTCCTTTGACTGCATTCACTGGGGGGGCCATCAAGGTCTTGGAACCCAACCGCGAGATCGACCTTGAGGTTTCGAAAGGACCGGTGCAATTTTGTGCTAGGCAGCACCCGCACTCAACTTGTCAAGCGCACGGGCGACGAGCCGTGCTTGTGCTCTTTTCCCTTAAAGCAGCTTCGCATGCTTCTGCCGATGATCAGCTTTGCTTGAAACGTTTGGGCTTCCCTCTGCCCACTCCGCGACAGCTCAGCTCCGTCGAAGTCTGCAAATCCGAGCTTATTTCCTTGGGTGAAGCGAAGCAGCGCCTCTTGCCGTTTCCAGACAAACCTCAAACCGGCAGTGACCCGGGCGCCCTGGGAAAGCCGACTCACGAAAGTCGTCCGCCGTCCATGGTAGAGTGCTTGGCCTGTCGTGGTCCCTTAGCAGCAGAGGCCCTCCTCACCGGATGGGACGCGATTCCGGTAGGTAAAGGCCCCCACGATCCCCACGGCTCGCCTATGTTGCATTTGGATCTCTCTGAGGAGGAAAACGTGCAGGCACTTCTCCGATTTGATTCGTCGGCAGCTGTTGATTGGTGGCACGGGCACCTCTTCCTCAAATCCTGTGTTCGGTTGGATCGGGGATCTTCCAAACAACCTTTGCGGAGAGCTGACTGCATTTTCGGTTGCCCTAAACTTGCCCCTCGAGCCCAGGACCTGGTGCACCGTGACAACAAGGTTTGCAGGGCCCTTGTTTCAGCCTTGCAACGAGCTCATCAAACCGGAGCCCTCGTCTCACTCATCGGGCCTGCCAGGAGCTGGGTTTGGAGCCTCCTAGCGAGCACTGTGAAATCCACCCAATCGAAAGACTTCATTGACTGGTTCTTCACCCTGGAAGACCAGGAGCTTGACACTTGCATGTTCGGGTCGCCTTTTCTTACCTCACTCAAGGTCAAAGCCACGCCCGGAGCTTTCCCGCAGATCTCTGCTACGTGTGACAAATCACATAAGCATCAAGCTTGGCTGCCTTCGCCGGCCGGTGGCACCTTCAACGATGCTTCCCTGCCCCATGGTTTGTGCCAACGCCTGTGCGAGTGTGCCACCAAGCTCGTCACCGGATCAACTAAGCACCGTGCAGCAGGCCGCTGCCGTCAGCTCCGGGCTGCTGTCAGGGCCGCCGCGGCCAATCAGTCTCATTTCACGCCACCCCTAATTCCTGAGTTTCGGGTGGTAACCCCTTTGTCCCAAGTGCCTTCGAATGCTGATTTCAAGATCTTGGACAAAGTCGGCTCGACACCGGGGGAATTGGTTGAGCCGGATAAGCGGTTTAGGCTTAATGGTTCTCCCCCTAAGTCCTCGGCTCCCCGAGTAGGTGCAGTGGCTGGTGTTTACCACACCATGGAAGAGCACCTTCGTCTTGCCTCAAATTTGTGCAGTCCAGCTGATACAAGCGAGAGGCTGCCAGATCAGATCAGGCGGAACATTTTCGCCATGCTGACCGAAGGACCCGTGGCGATCTCAAAGAAAAGGCTTCTCGCTCTTCAGCAGCTGAACCGAAGAGTGCAGGAGCTTGCAGATGAAGAAAGAACGCTTCGCGAGAGCATGCACCCCGATGTTGAATCCGTGACCAGGGGGAAAGCGATCTCCTTGTTCAGGGAACTGCTTGAGGAAACCGCCTTTGCAGACATGTCCGTAATCGATTTGCTTGTGAAAGGCGTGCCACTTGTGGGCCAAGAGCAAGACTCGGCCCTCTTTGCCAAACGGCCGAAGCCGCAGGAGATCAGCCCGGACCAACTGCGGGCCCAGTCAGCTCTCAGGAGGGACGTTCTACAGCGCACGCGAAAACTCGTCTCTCAGGAGGACTACGCCGCCATGCGGGCGGAGACGGACGAAGAGGTCAAAGCTGGTTTCCTGGGTGGACCGTACTCTTCCGAGTCCGAGGTCAGTAAAGTGCTGGGGACCACAAACTGGTCTCTTTCGCCCCGCTTCCTCCTGAGGCAGGGAGAGGACGCAAAGATTAGGATAATAGATGACTTCAAAATGTCAGCTGTTAACCGTGCCTTCGGATCTTCATCGTTCCTCGAGTTGCAGGACACGGACTTCGCAGTGGGTTTGCTTAGATTCCTTTCGAGGGCTCTTCAGGATCGCTCCCGAGTAAGGGTGCCTCTGCTTGATGGCTCGGTCTTGGAAGGCAACTGGGCGCCTGAGATGCTGTCGGCCCCTCCCCTGTTGGGCAAGACGCTGGATTTGAGCAAGGCCTATCGTCAACTGGCAATCCACCCTGACTGCAAGGAGTTCTCAGTGCTGGGTTTCCCTACGCCCGCTGGTGGCTGGGAGTACTACATCACGAGGAGCCTCCCGTTTGGGGCCGGCGCGAGCGTCTTCGGGTTTAATAAGGTTGCCCTAGGGGTTCTGCACATCATGACAGTGAAGTTCATGGCAATCGCCACGGACTTTTACGATGATTACACCATCTACGAGTTTAAGCCTGCTGCTTCCTTGCTGGATAAAGCCCTCATGCGGCTGCTGGACATCCTGGGCTGGACCTTCGCGCGCTCCGGGCGCAAGTTTGTGCCTTTTGCCGAAAAGGTAACTTCCTTAGGTGTAACCTTGGGGCTTGAGGAAATTTGGCAAGGAACCTTGACTGTGGAGAACAAGGCGGGCAGACTTGAGCGCATCGTTCAGCAGCTGAAGCGGATTTCGCAAGGAGACGAGATCACCCGATCAGATGTGGCTTCCCTACACGGCCTGCTCAACTTTGCCGGGGGTTTGATCTTAGGGTTCGAGCTTAAGGCTACCTCGCGTATGCTGTCGCGAGCCCTGACAGGCCCATTCCGAGGCAACACAACAGAGTTGCAGCATGCTTGTGCGTTGGCCTTGGACGTGTTGTCGCAATGTCGCCCCAAGCGGTGCCCTGCATCGGTGAAGCCACCCATCATCCTGTACACCGATGGGGCAT